ATGTTCTTTTATCTCTGCCCATTTATTTTTTATACAGCTTATTGAGTAATCTATTGGTATATTTGTATATAATGATACAACATCCAGTGATATTATACGATGATTCTTTGGTATTTTTTGTTTTTTTATAAAATCACAAAAACTCCAAGAGTCTTTAATGTAATTAATATTGTGACGTTCCCAATACATTACTCAAAACTGCTGACAGATATTTAGATGGGTACGTTGGAGCATTTATGTTACTAACTATCGATCGTAATGGAATGTTTTCCTTATGAAGCTTTGGTAGGCTATGGCCTCATAAGGTGGTGGTTTTTAATTTAATTTATTATTTTATTTAGTTTTGTTTGTATAATGGTAGTAAGATCTTTTTTTCCGGTTTATATGTTTTTATATCACTTATTAAGCCTAGCATTTTCGTTTTGTATTCACTTTTTAACATAATTACAGTTTTGTTGCATTTATCTGCTGTTAGTATGCAAATGTTTGTGTTTTCATACATAAATTTTTTTGTTTCATTTATCAGTCCATTAACATGACATGCCATACTTTTATTTGTGTTTTGTTTTATTTTACCTTTGAAATTTGTTAAGATGTTACACAATTTATTTCTGATCTCGTTCTTTGCCTCATTGTTTAATGGGAAGATTCCATGTTCAATGCTTGTTATGATTTCTGAAATTGGACCATAGTGAGACTTATTTATGGAGAACCTTGGTCCAAGTGATGATCTTGTTGAACACAGTTTCATAATTTTGTTCTTGTTCATAAAACACTTTTATTTTATTTTGATAGCATGTTTATGTTGTAACGATATTTTAACATTATTAATGTCTTTGTCAATTTCATTCAGTTTGGAACAACAATTTTTTTTTTGATTTTATGTGTGATATGATGAGGCTGTTGACGAACTGTGATTGTTTTTTAAATTATTGAAATTTTTTTTTAACTATGTTATTTTAGAAAAACTGACGGTGGAAAAATACACCGAAACGTATTTTAATTGATAAATAAAGACAGTAAATGACTGAAACCCAGGAATTAATTTTGATTTGGAATTGAAACACAGTCAGGAAAGTATATACAATGAATGGTTTTAAAGACATAAATGGCACTCACTCACAATATTTGCTAACCTTTGGACAAATCTTCACAAATCTTAGCAACTGTACGTTTTTGGGTAACATTTCATACATACCGAATTATTGCAAACTTTTGGAAAAAAATTGATATTGCGACAGCGTTTAAAACCGTTAACTCTTTAAACTCTGATGATGCCTAAGCGCAAAATAAATAATAATAATAACGGATAAATAATAATAAACGGGTTCTCACCTCTGGAATGGGCGAAACGGGCTTCAAGTCCTTCCGCCCATTACTAGTAGGCGATGTCGGCGATTTGTACTGGTTCAAACGGGCGGTATTGCTGGGCAATTCGTTCACTCTCAGCGACATTTGCCTCTTAAACGGCGAGTTTTCTCCCAGCGTGCTGAACCCACGACAGCTCCCCTGCCTCTGAAGCAGACTTGGAGTCGCATGAGGCCGTTCGATGGCAAACGGATTGGCTGGAGTCGGCTTTGGATTGGCAACCACATCAACCTGAAACAAAATCCAGAGTTCTTCGTCTACAACTCTTCCATCTCAAGCTTTAACAATCGAAAAAACCTTCCCAGGTTTGAATGAGATCAAGATAAAACCGTGAGAACTTCTTAGGACAATAGGAGGTGGTTTAAGGTCAGAAAGATCACTTACAGCGCGTTCCGTTAAACCGGCCTGTCGAAATGATCCGGTACGAGTAAATGTGGAACTTTTCGCATCAAACAGCATCGTCACTCCGCACTCTTTGTCCCGCTTTTGCTTCCTCTCCAGGCAGACCGCAAAAGCGCATCCCACCGCGTGACTCAGTCGTTCACCTGATTCTCGAAGAGCCAAAAAACCATGGCACATCCATCTAAAACGCAAAATCAATTAGTCTGGAACTTACACTGGATTTTTTAAGGATTTTAAAGCATCCAGCAGCTAGACCCTAGAAAGAAGTTTGCTTTTTTTTACAAACTTTTTTTTGGGTATTTCGCCTCACAGAATTTCTTTTTTAAATTAATTTCTATCTTAATAATTGTAAATTAATTTTTGAGGCAAAATACCCAAAAAGAAGTTTGTAAAAAATAAATCCGCCTCAACAATATAGAACTTATCTACAAGTTTGCTTTTGTGCTATTGCCGAAACACTAAAATTTGTTTCTTCTAACTACACGAACTAAAACACCAAACATAGTAGACATGAGATAATGGAATGCAAAAATTTTGTACATTTTTGGACAAGATGGGAGATCAAAACGCAATCGTTGCCATCCACATACAAAATCTCATTTCTAAACACGAAATTTCCACTGAAAATGTAAAATTCGATGGTCCAAAGATTGAATTGCAAACTAAACAATGTCGAATTATGGTGAAAGAAAGGTAAGTTTTGAACAGCAGATGCATCAATCTCAAAAATTCGACAAATCTTCAACTGGACCTTGGCAGGTTCTTGAAAGAAGCAAGTGTTTGACACAAAAGAAGAAATTCTGTGTTTTCTAAAGGCAAACATTTTTGAGGCAAAATACCCAACAAGGAGTTTGTAAAAAAATGAATCCGCCTCAACAATATAGAACTTATCTACAGAAGAAGAAAACAAGCAACAAAAGTTTATGGATTTCCTTTTGTTAACTAAAAAATATACAAAATGTACGGTCAAAGAGTATTCAACACTTGATACCCACTAGAATAAAAAACATTGTAACATTAGTTAAAAATCATTTAAAAATCCTCGGGTTACCAACAATTTAATTTTAAAGTATTGATAAAGTCGTAAATTTGGATTAAATAATTTCGGAAAATCAATATTTACAGGTTTTTAACAGGCAGATCTTTACAGTTAATTGAGAACATTGATAGAAGGAGCAAATGCAGATTACATTTTTTCAGATTAAAGAAATGTGGAGAAATTTTATCTGTTTCTTATAGATTCTTTTACAACCCCTTAAAATCGAAATTTCTGGAAGCTTTTACGATTTTTTTCAGTTACTAAGGCGAGTCGACTGCCCTGACTGATTACCAACAAAAACACGAGTTTTTAAAAAATTCGTCAAGGAAAAACCAAGAATTTCTGAATGAGGCCCATAACATCACTCGAAAGAAAAAATCGGCTGCTTTAATTGAAGACTGCAAAATCACTTGAATAGGAAATTGCTAGGAGTTTCCAGGATGTTTTCAGTTACTAAGGGGAAACGATTGGTCGTTGGTATAAATACACGAGTTAAAAAAAATTGTTAAGAAGAAACCAAAAATCTCTAAAGCCTGCCCAAAATATCACTCGAAAGCGCAGAGAAATCTGTAGCTTTAAATGACGAAAACCTCACTTTAATAGGAAATTTCTGCAAATTTTCAGGATTGTTAAAAAAATCGACGCGATTGATTGGACAACATAGATTTTTTAAATATTCGTCAAGGAAAAAGAAAAAATCCTGAATGCGGCTCATAACATCACTCGAAAGAGAAAATCAGCTGATTTAAGTAAGAAAAAAAGTCACTTGATTAGGCAATTTGTGGGGAAAAAATTTAAAAAAAATGTCCAGAAACCAAGGAGGAGAAACCAAAAGTATCTGAAACCTGCCCAGAATATCACTCGAAAGAGAGAATCTGCGGTTTTAAATGAGGAAAACCTTACTTTAATAGGAAATTTCTGGGAGTTTTCAGAATTTTTAAATTTCGATGGTCCAAAGATTGAATTGCAAACTAAACAATGTCGAATTATGGTGAAAGAAAGGTAAATTTTGAACAGCAGATGCATCAATCTCAAAAATTCGACAAACCTTCATCTGGACCTTGGCAGGTTCTTGAAAGGAGCAAGTGTTTGACACAAAAGAAGAAATTCTGTGTTTTCTAAAGGCAAACATTTTTGAGGCAAAATACCCAAAAAGAAGTTTGTAAAAAATGAATCCGCCTCAACAATATAGAACTTATCTACAAGTTTGCTTTTGTGCCTTTGCCGAAACACGCCTTAAATCAAATAGGGTTTTTCATCGGCAATAATGAACGAGATAAACCCACCGGAAAGCATGGGAGCGTGAAAATTGCACGGTTGAGTTCTGATGAATCACTCATTGTCATTCGAAACTTGGCCTTCTGCATTGGTCAGCGATCGCGAGAAATTTTCGCTTAAATCACCTGACTCACCTCATGAAGTCAAACCGACTCACCTAGAAATGATTTTTGGTCTTTGCCTACCTTCGAGTTGTGCCATCTCTGCAAATGTAGCTGAAGCCCCTTTCGTGGTTGCGATCGGGGGCGCAAAACGACACTTTTTCGATTGTTTGGTCGACAATTAGCCCCTTGGTTTCCTCTTCGACCACCCTTAATCCGTCGCCGCTGACATGCAGAACAGCCCTGATCGGCCTGCGTCTTGATCCCTGGATAATTTGCAAAAAACCAACGTTTAACAACAGGCGAAAATAATGAATTCTAATTCTTCAGGCGCTACAATGCTCTAATTGGCCTGTGGGAACACGGTAGCGGGAACTAATTTTTAAAGCTCTTCTCATGTCAGAAAGTCTACCTTTCTACCCCGTCTTGTAACCTGTAACCTTCTATTTGGCACCCCATTTTTTCTGTGCACCCCTCGTTTCTTTCGCATGTAGAAAAATCCCTATTAATAGACGCTGCTCCCAAATGGACCGTTCCAGTCAAATTTACGGTGAGAAATCCCCTTGTAGTGAAACCGAACTGATATTGTATGTAAATTTTCAACAGGTAATTGGGAAGTCCATTAGGGGAGGTTGCAGTTGATGAACCGTTTTCTGCTTACAAAGGCTTCGGAGTTTTGCAGGTATTGAATGCTACTTACACTGCCAACCCTCAACACTTTAAGGGCCTCTTCGCACACCTGCATTCCCCTTGAGTCAAACACTTCCACACAACCCAGGTATTTGACTGCAAATGTACAAGTTGCCGATCTGAAAGCCCACATTGTCAATTTTTCTCCTTAAAATTACTATAGAGGTGAATTACCGGACGGCAGTTTCATCTGCGGACCATTGATGGGGCTTGGAACTTTCCGGAACTCGATCCTTCCGTCTTCGGAACGAGTCCCTGAAGGAACGACGCAGTCGGTCCATTTTTCGAGGAGAACGCAAACTCCGTCTCTGAAAAATAAGTTCAATTCTCAATCAATCTAGGTAAGAAATAACATTGACAATGATCGGGACGAATATATAATAATATAACCCAAACTATAATTTACATCTTGTAAAAGGAGACGCGCATCGAATTACACAACATGATGCCGGTCTTGTTATCTCTTCGCTGCCTAAACCAGCTTTCTAAAAATTAAAATGCCCACTCCTGCATAATTTTGGCAAAAAGAGGTCAGCAGCTAAGTTAAAATGTAAAATATTATCAATTCAAACTACTGAATGTTTGAGCTTAAGCACAAACCCGAAAGTGAAATTAAATAGCGCATTTGCATGATCAAGCTTTACAAATACGTACTTTTTACGTAAGTTTTATTGGATATTTGCATCGATTTGACTCAAGGATGGAAGATAGATGGATGTTAGTCGACTAATTAGGCGTCATCGCGATCAGTTCTGCAGGACTAGACAGAGACAAAGTTCAATTTAAATGGAAAATTTGTGTCTTTTCTCAGTATCGTCACGATTATTACAATCTGACCTTCCATTGGTTTATATGTACAATTGTATAAATTAAGCACCGTAATAACTTTKAAGATATACAGAGTGGTTTCTGACCGAACAATGGGCCATAAGTCTTGAAGCKAAAAATAKATTTAAAATCCCTTTGAAAAATATTTATTTCATTATGTCCCGTAAATCCCCTTAAATTTGAAGTCGCTGTGATCTTCATAGGCAAARTGACGCCGTTCTGAAGACTCGCATTAATCTTGAATTTTTGSTAGAAACATTTCTARATTGATGTTTGRAACAATAAAGAACGCAATTTAACGCTCTATCTCGCAGTGMAAACGATAGTTTYGTAGCTCAAGCGGTTCTCTAAATATGAGCCAAAACATAAGAGCGGTTCTAGAMTCACATTAACCTTGAATCTTCGCATTTTRCGTGAAAACTAGAAATATTTTTGCAATGAGATKTSTTGTATAAAAAATACGCAATTTAACGCTCCACCTCGCAATGAAAACTAGAGTYTCGTMRCTCAACYGGTTCTCTAAACTAAARACCCRCATTAATCGTGAATTTTCAAACATTTCTATAATAATRTTTCGAACAGAAAAACACGCAATTTAAGGCTCTATYTTACAATGAAAATTATAATTTCGTAGCTCAACCGGTTCTCTAGATATGAGCCAACGCATAAGAGTGGATCACCAATCTCAGGCAAATAATCCCCTACCTCTGGATTAATCGCGCATTAATCTTGAATTTTCGAGTTTTGCGYGAAAACTAGACATATTTTTGCAATTAGATTTGTTATTAAAAATGCGCAATTTAACGCTCTATATCGCAATGAAAACTAGAGTTTTGTAACTCAACCGGTTCTCTAAATGCCCGCCAACGAATAAGAGCGGTTCTGAAGACTCGCAGTAAAATTGAATTTTTGCATTTTGTACGAGTAAGTACGACATTTAATGCTCTATCTCGCAATGAAACTTTGAGGTTCGTAGCTCAATTGGTTCTCTAAATATGAGCCACCGAATAAGGGCGGTTCTGAACACGGTTAATTTTGAAATTTTTGCATTTTCCGTGCAAACTGAAAACACTTCTACAATGATGGTTGGTAGAAGAAAGTACACAATTTAACGTTCTATCTTGTTATGAAAACGGGAATTATGTAGCTCAACCGGTTCTCTAAATACGAGCTAACGAATAAGAACGGTTCTGAAGTCTCCCGTCATTCTTGAATCTTCGCATTTTATGTGAAAACATTTCTGCAAAGATGTTTAGTATAAACACGTCGATTCACAAAGCCGCAACAGAAACCGGTATATCGCATAAAAGCTTCACAACTTTTAAACCATTCAAGTTTAAAATAATGCAGGATTTTTCTGACGGCGATACAGATCGTCGAATAAAATGTTGCTAAAACTCACTCGCTCAATAATCGAAGACCTCAACTTAGTGAAAAATATATGTTTTCGTGTCGAACCTATCTTTTATTTAAATGGCAGAGTCAGCAAGCAAAGCGGTCGCTTTTAAGGGACGTAAAATGTATTTAAGAATCATCAGGTCCCAGATTATATCCAAAAAACCCGCGTTTTTCTTTCAGCGGAAATCTATGAAGGGATGCAAGAATCGGCTATAAAACCACTCATAATTCGTGAAGCCGAAAATCAGAGGAACAGTAATGGCAGTCAAATTTTAAAGTAAAACTTGCTGCATTTTAAACAGTGGATTGCCAGAAGGTGACCAATTGAATGGCCTCCCAGATCACCAGATAAAATCTGGAGTGTTTAAAATTATTTGACTCTCAAAACCGACTATATTTTTGCCTGGAAAATCACTTTTGTTTATTTATTATTATTTGACCGTTCAAATACTTTTCAGGAGAGGTAAAGAAAAATTAATTCCCTACATGAACAAGCGCATCAAAGACCTACATGTTGTCCCAGAAAATTCGAAATATAAGACAGAAACTCATGATGATGAAAAGTTTCCGGAGAGTCCACCGGACTAAGAAACATTAACATGGATAATCTATTATTATTTTTAGCCAATAGAATTACAAACTTCTATATGAATACGTGGAAAAAGCACATAAATACTTCGAGTCATCAATAAAGGAAAACATTGTCCTCAAAATTTATCATAAAATTAACCGAAGAGTTTTTGAGGCAACAGAATTTTTTTAAACATGTTTTAAAAATCGCAAACTGAGAAAATAACAGGTGAGAATAACACTCACCGATACGTGAAGAACTCATTTCTCAATTTCGTTATACAGGGTGTCCCGTAAACGCATGATCAAAACAGTACGCGACAAAAAAAGATAGAAAACTATCTGGTTCTCCTATTGATGTTCATTTTTAATCCTGACTTTTTCCAATATCGGAATGGAAGAATGTGAAGATATCTTCGCGGCAGTAAGTATAATAAAATAACTAAAAACATAACTTTTCCTTGGTGGCTGTATTCAATGTATTTTTGCTTCGGATAAACATTTAAGTACTTTCTTTCTTACGAAAATTTCGTGCTCTTGGTAAAATCTTGTCATTCAGAGTTTTTGCGCAAACATGATTTTTAGGTTTAATTGCTATTTAACAATTTTCTGCTGCGGAAAAGGCGGGATAAATGTTCCTATCGAAAGGCCCTCCAGCAGCCAGCTTGTCCTACCTAACGCCTTTAAACTTTTTGAGAAGCTTTAAAGAATAAAGTTTACGTCACTCCTGTAGATTAATATAATATATAATTGATAACAAATTTTGAGGCAAAAAGTGTTGTAGATTCGACTACAAACTATTTACTTTAAACCATGTGAGATGTCTGATGTGAGTGGGCCAATTTACAAAAGCTAACCGATTGAAAAGGTCAATTGAATGAACAGATTTACGTAAAAAAGCGCGTGTTTTCACTGTTCATTCATTGTGATTAATTATATGTACACAAATCAAACCGGCCAAGGTGTAAACTTGTTAAATAAACGACTAAATGTCCAGTGCTTTGTTCAAATTACTTACTAAAGATGGAAACATCACACCACTGTTCACCTTTGACACCGCACCAGTGCAGAATGTGCCAAATCAAATTTTCTTCCATAAAACCAACTACGTCAACCAAATAACTTTACAACTACAATAAGACTTTAGTCCTAATTTAGGTATGCAGATAACAGCAAAAAACTACGTTCGTTAATTAAGTTTTGTTACAGTCAGCTACATGGTTTAAGCCGAAACGCTGATTACTCAAAAAATGATAATCCAAACTGGAATTGGCCCGTTTCAGTTTCCACACACAAGCACTCAACAATTGTCTATAAATTATTAATGTTTTTAACCATAGACAGCAAGCAAATATATTAAAAGCAGCCTTGGCAGTTTGCATTAAACAGATGCCCAACACTCGTGTCGATTACCATTTTTCACTTTGAAATGCTTTAAACACTAGCAGGCAGAAAATACGTAATTTAGTAATTTTTTTGCAAGAATTGGCCTAGAATAGAATAGAATTTTTAATAGAACAGTGAAAAAAATTTGGTTATTTTACGTGATACTTTACTGAAATTTTTTTGTTTTTTTTTCAGGTCGTAGCACTTATATTATTTAGGCATCTTAAATGGAAAACAGTAGCTAAATTTAAGCTATTCCCCTATTTATGCCGAATAGTTGTCATATCTACAGGGTGTCGTTTTTCATCGTACTTCGTTCTGAATGATTTCATTCAAATGAACCTTTCAATGGGACAAAGAACAGAACTACACGTTAAAAATGCCTGCATCTCTGGACCGATCTTTATAGGAATGCAATCTAATTTTGGATCGCCCTGTATGAGACATTCAAGTCACAATTGCATTTCATGAATTATAACATGCTGAGAGTCGACGGCCTTCTTGAAGTGGAATGTTTCAACTTCCCTTATGGCGGCGTCAAAAATGCAAATGAGGCAAACACATGTCTTAAATATAAATATATCCATGCCGTAATATGTGCGCTGTTTCTTCGAAGCGCCATTAAAGTTGAAGAATGGATAAAATCGCAAGTTTCTCTTCAACTGAAAGTGGATGAGATCTAAATCGTTATCGGCGCAAATAATCGTCTACTATCTATAGGCCAGAAAACATTTATCAGTGAACGAGTGGATAGGGGATCAGGAAATGAGTACTTATCGATTTTTGTAGTATTTTAAGACACGATAGGGGCTTATGAACTCCATTAATGGTGCTGGCTTGATGGCTTTTTCGCATGTACTTTCATTGCTGAGGAATGGGGAACGAAAGGAAGTTTACCGTCTTGAGCAACCGTAAACGACCGAACTTCCACATTGTATAAACCAAATCCTCTGCTAAAATTTCATCCGTTCATCCAACGTTAAAGTCATCGAAACGATCTAAAAGAAAGCTTTTCATCGGCGATTTCACATTAAGCAATAATCCATCTGATCCGACTCAAGTTACGGTAATCAGAATTTTTAATGAGTCACGGAAATTAGACTTAATGCAGCCAAATATCAGTTTGAGTCGATGACTCCCCAAAAATTCCTTTCCAATGAGTTCACATCCGAAGTGATATCGACTCAAGCTTAAGACACCATGACTCATTTGAATGTGATTTCTAAGAATCGTGTGCACTTGACTCTTAACTTGTCAACTCATGAAGTGATTAAAAATCGAATCGAGGAAAAACACAAAAATTAGGTATTTTTTTAAATACTCACAATGATAAAAAGTGTGCCACAAAATCTACAGCAAGAAAAACAAACTGTTTTTTGAATTGTGATTGTGAAGTGATCATTTTTTTTGTTATAGGTACACAATATACAGGGTGTCTCAGGGTCAGCGTCCATGAGAATATTTCGGGAAGTAATGCGATTTGAAACCCGCAAATTTGGACAATGAGATTTCCGGAGACGCTCTTTTCAGATGAAATAATAGTCGGTTAAACCAGAAGTTGTCTTAAACTAACTTATTCTAAATGAAACACCCAAACCTGTGTGCTTTTGTGTGGGAGATGCGAATTTTTAAGTGAGCGGACGCAGTTGACCGACAACACCATCAATTTTGTGAGTCACATTTACAAAGCCGGCAAAAATCAGGTTCCGGGTGGATTTTTCTGAAACTTTCCAAGTCTATCGGATCAAATGTCCACTAAAGTTGGTAACAGACTCAACTTCCTGTGTGCTTTAGTTTGGGAGACGCGAATTTTTAAGTCAGAGCGCAAATATTTTTTTTACAAAAATTCAAGTTCACGACTTGCGAACAATTTTCAATAAAATATTTCGATTTTCTGCTCCAAGAATGCATTATTAGCGTTCAAATACATCTAAAGTTTGCCTAAAGTATGACAATTCTGGGGTTTACATAAAGTGTGAAAGTTCAAAATGTTTTTGACTTAAAAAGTGGATATCCGGCCTTCAAACCCTTATAACTTTTCAGTTTTCTAACCGAGTTTAGTTTTCTCAACCGTAATTTTTAGGGAACATCAACGCAGTTTTGTTTTGTTTAAAGAAAGTGCGATTTTCGTGCCTGAAAATGCTTGTTTGGCACTTGAATCCATCTCAAGTTTGGCTAAAGTGTAAACTAGAAAATTGTTTTGCTCGATGTTCAAATCGTAATAAATCTTACATTTCTTAACCGATTTGAATTGACTAAAAAGTGTTTACAGGTTTTACAGCAGATGGTGCTCTTTAGAACCAGTTATACCCAAATATGTTTTTCAAATAATCGAATTTTCGACCTCAAATGCTCTGGAATTTTGTTAACAATGCCAACATTGATATTATATTGCTTTGGTCAATTTCAAATTTCCACCTGAAGCCAGTATTAAGAGAAAGACGTGAAAAATTCTTACTGAAACAAAATGCCATGAAACTTAAATCAAGTTTTCATGAAAAATCGTTCAAAAAGCTTTCAAAACGCACTTTGAGAAAAAACAAACAAAAAAATTTGAAAAATGTCCTTTTGACAGGTAGTTTTTAGAAAAAATTAAGAAAAATTGCAGAGTTCAAAATAAAAAATGAAAATCACTAGAAAAAACGGACAGAAAGTCAAAAACATTCAAAAAGTGAACAATTTGGCAGGTTCTCAATGTTATCTCCCAGAATTCCACTTATTTTGTTTTATTTTATATGCTTTTAAACTTTTTTTGACAGAGAATAAAAATTAGGGAATAAAGATATTAACGAGCACAATAATATCTAATTTTGCAACTGAGATTTTGAGTTTCAGTCTATCATCTTTGAAAATACATTCGATTTTACTCGATACCCTGATAATGATAACATTTTATGAAAAGCTATATTTTGCTCAGAACGGATAGAGTAGGGTAGAAAAACTTTTCATTAAAGGTATAAAGAAATATAGAAAGGAACACAAGCAAAAGTATTATACAAAATGTTCCATATAAAATAACGAAGTTGTTGAAGAATGTCGCAGATATTTCATCTGAAAAGAAGGTTTCCGAAAATATCATTATCCAAATTTGCAGGATTCAAATCGCATTACTTCCCGAAATAAGCAAATGAACGCTGACCGTGAAACACCCTGTAGTTTTTAGTTATTCGAATTTAAGGATGAAAATTCGCAGTTTGGTGTTCATAAACCAAAAATTTCTCCGTCGTCTTTAGGCACAACATTTTGAAATTTTGTGGGATAATCGAGTTAATATTTGGTTTGCAAAATATTGGCCTTTGAAACTACAGGGCGGTCATAATATTCATTCCATTTCACAAAAAAAAAATTTCTCTAAATGACAAATATAACGGTCATTAAAAAAACGAAATTTCTATAAAACTGAAACATTTATGGGTAATTATTTAGCATAAATGACAGGTTTTCTTATCCTGAATTAAACACACTGGCAATATACGGGGTGTGCCATTTAAAAAGCATAAGATATTTACGATTGAAGATAGACGTTAAATTGAATGCCCTGCAGTTTCAAAAACAAATATTTCGCCAAATTTCAAACTCTTATCGCCTAAAAACGGCAGAGAAACTTTCGATTTTCCAACACCATGAAGCACCACAAAAATGCGAATTTCCGTTGTTAAAGCCGAATAACTTAAAAAATTTGCCCAATTCCGATCACAGTTTGTATTACAACTTTTCGGACGCACACTGTATAATTGTGAATATCTTTAAAATTTGCGGGTTCAGTCTTTATATGCTTAAGACAATGAGAATTTTGAATCAAACAATACCGGTTAAGCCCAAACTGCCCAAACTTACTCCAACGTTGGGACAGAGTGTAATAAATCAGTCTGCCACGTGCCGATCGATACGGTTAGGCCGAGTTCAGATGGCCATTTCTGCTACGGGGGGCCGTCACAAAATAGCTCCAAACCCAGCAGCCACCAAAAATCTTATTTTTAAACTTTTATTTTTATTACTAAACTTTCATTAGCTTTTGATGAAAATTGAGGCAACAATTTAATGTCCTGCAGAAATTTTAGCAGCAAATTTTTTTGGTAATATTCACAACTCCAGTGATTTTTCTATACTTACGGTGTGTGCATCTCCAAACTTGGGGGCATCCCGCCTATCCAAGGGAATATGATTTGATGGATGATTGCCCATGATTCGGTCGCAAACAGCACCACTAAACACTCATTTATCCCCCGACTCGAATTTAGTCCCGAGAAACAGATGCACACTGGCACAGATGCTCAATGAAGGGCTCGCCGTTTGAAAACCGATATTTTCAGCGCTTTATGTATGAAACCTTGCACCTTTCCATTAGAGACATTTTAGTTAGAAACTGCACCATGCAGGCTGTTCTTCTCCTATGAATGCAAATGGCAGGCAGGATACCTCCTTTCTTGTACACCGGACGGCCTTGAACATTCCTGAGGTCAGCACTCCGAAAATAACTGCACTGATCAAGTAGCTGATTTAGCTCCAAATTCCTATTCCTTCAACTGCAGATTGGGGGGTCGATGGGAGATTCGCACAGCCACACTTGATAAAACGGCACCCGCGAAAGTGACCGTTACAACCGTTAGAAGGCGCGAAACGCAAGCGGATTTTGCGCTGAAATTTCACACGAAACGAAAATTAGTTGTAATTGGGGAATTGAAGACAATAAAGAAACCAAAGCTGGGTCCAACGGCAGTTACCACAAATCCATTGCAACCATCCGGATGGACTGATCTGATGACGGTTAGTTGAGTTGAATACATATTCCCATTGCCCACATTGACTAGCACTACCAGCAGCGTTGCCAGGTCAAGAACTACGAAAGCAGTAGAATAGACGGTAAAAAAACGGTAGAAAATTATTAAGATTAATTAATGTCTGTAAATTTATGGTGTTCGAACTTTTTAAGTAGTTTTCCAACGTACTTTTCGCCTTCATCACCTTTTGAACAARATGTTTTAATRTATAAACAAAATAKAAAATAACCGAGTTCTACTACCTTGTCCAAACTTTTTTGAGCCCCTTGGCCCCCAAATATATATTTTTCAATTGTCTTGTGGTTGTCTGGATTTTTAACTTTTCTACAAACTTCTTGTTGGGTATTTATTGATTCATTTTTTATTTTTATTATTTATATATTTATTATTTTTTAATTCACATAACTGACAATTTGCACAGACGAATTCTCAGAGCGAATTTTCATATACTGTATTATCCTACTATTGTTACCCAATTTATTAACATACTCTTTTTTAGGTTAATTTATGTTCTTTTGATAACGATAGCAGAAAATAGCTATCGAAACGTCAAGGTAATTTTTCAAATTAATCTCTTTACTAATTGGAATTTTCTCTTACAGATTGAGCCTAAGTGTGTCGCAGGATACCCTCTAGGTATAGTTCTTGATTACTTTTTGATAAATAATTCGTTCTTATTGCGAAATAGGAGCACTATTTACCAATCTGCAATAAAAGACGTGAGGAAATTCTGTCTTTTTTAAAGACAAAAATTTTTGAGGCAAAATACTCAACAAGAAGTTTGTAAAAAAATGAATCCGCCTCAACAATATAGCACTTATCTGCAACTTGGATTTTTAACATTGATGTTATGCGGGAGACTGGCTTCTGAAATATTATTCTTCAACCGAGAACTAAATAGAATACATTTGGGCATTATTTAATAACTTGCATATCGACTAGTGCCAATACGATTTCCATTATCAATTAATTAAAAAAATAATTACAGGCAAGGACCAGGTGGAAAATGTTGTTGAGGTTCCAACTAAGAAAAAATTAAATTTAAACACGAAAACACTGGAAATGGTGAAACGGGACGCAGTTTAGTAGGCCTGGGTAACACTGTGTTGAGTTGTTACCGCTGTCTGAGTTAACGAGTGATAACTCATCGGTTCATGAGTTATAAGTCATTTATTAAATCCCAAAGGTGGAAGTCGAGTGATCGAGCAGTAAAGTTGATACTCTTTGATCGCCTATAGTAAAATTCCAAGCAATCTAGATTGTGTAATATAGAAATTCTGTATATCGGCATCTTTAAGGCTTGAGATGGATGGACGAGTGGAAAGTTTCGTATCCAATCATCGAAAACAGGAAACTTTTGGTTTCAACTCTGCTAAACTTATATCTGGTACCGCTCTTTACTGATCTCTAAAAGTTTTTTGGAATTTTATAATTTTTTATATTGCTGGCATAAAGAAGATGAAATTTGAGTTGAAAATATTCGAAATTTATTCAATTGCGTTGGTTAGCTTTATTGGAAAATTGTCTAAAAGAGTGTTTTGAAATTAGTGTTTACTTCTGTGTCACCAACAATGGCAAAATATGTTTTAATGCAACACTAGCAGTTTGCAATGTTTATGCAGATTAAATATTAAAACGAAACTTATGTTTCATATTCTTGTAGGCCTGGGTAACACTGTGTTGAGTTGTTCCCGCTCTCTAAGTTAACGAGTTATAACTCATCGGTTACGGAGTTATAAGGCATTTGTTACAGCTTTACGAGACCCGAGACTGAAATTTTCGCATTTAAAAAAAAGGTCCTCAACATTTTTTCTGAGTAACATGTCTGAGTCCAAAGGAAGTCGACGAGTTTTCTTGTAAAATCGATTATTTTTTTGCATAAAAGTTTGTCAGAATTTTACAGTAAAACGTTAGGAAAAACGCGGTTTTTCTGCTTAGAGACAGTATTGTTTAGAAATATTGACCTGAAAGTGAAGAAACCCCAGTTTCCAAGAGTTTTCCAATTAAATGATTATAAACTTTCGCTTTTTCAGTTCGGGGAAATATTATTGGAAAAACACCCAGAAATAATTATTACGGTTTTGTCCATAATTCGAAGCTGCAAAGTTTTCCAAAAGTTTTTATAAACTTTTTACAAAATTTATCTTGTAATTTTTCGCGTAAAAGACTTCCAGATCGTCAGTATTTATAAGTGAAACTCTACAAAACAGAGCATTTTGGAGCAGAAAGTAAAGCGAAAAAAATGAGTCAAAACTAAAAAATCACATTTTTTTAACAAACTGTACAGTCTTCAGAGGTATGAAGGTGACGAGATTTCCAAATAAACTGTTATAAACTAGTTTATTTTGTTCGTTTTTTAATAGAAAATAGTTGTTTTTTGCTCCAAATTCGAAGCTGGAAAGGGATTCCAAAAGTGTTTACAAAGCCACGAAGGATTCGAAATTTATTTCATAATTTTTCGAGGAAAATACCTTAAGATTGTCACCATTTTTAAGTGATACTTTAGAAAATTGATCAGTTAGAAGGTAGAGCTTTGCTAAAACTGGAAAATTCTGAAATTTTGAAGAAATTTTAAAATATTATTAATAAATGGCTCTTAAAATAAATCTGAAAACAAGTAAAAAGTCAAACAATTTCCTAGCAACGGAACTGAGTTACTGCGCCGGTGCGTTGGGTTGGCGCACCAAGCCATTTGCGTAGCACTGCGCCAACTCCTAAAAATTCACCCAGGCTTACAGTTTAGGGGCTTAAACCGGTTTTTTGCGATTTGTGGCGAAAAGTGACCGTCTAGCAGAAAACGTTCAATGGAAGAATTTTTGAGAACTGTTGGCAGTTTCAAACATTTTCATAAGAAGACATTGTTTTATTTACCATTTCATCAATTATATTGAAACTAGTTAACGTAAAGTTTTAGCGGTAGATTTTCAAAGCTTTGCGGTAGAGCGGTAGCTCTCACCATAAAAACGGTGGATCTACCGCAAAATCAGTAGAGCTGGCAAGCCTGACTACCAGTCCTGAATACATCGGCCCAGGTAAACGCACCCATACCCCCGACCATCAACGGATTTTGATGACACCGACATACCGGGTATGTCGAGAAAATGTCTCTAGCCATCTCCCTTCCTTTCACGCTGGTGGTACCGATAAAGTGAGATGGATGGTCGCATTTACGACACACCCATCACGGTGGGACTAGGTGGGTCCAGGTGGGTCGGCGCCGGTCGGAAGGTGTCGCACTTATTCGGATCGACAACGTGCGTTTGACTGGTTGAAACTCACCGTCACTATTAAATGGATTTCGTCATAAAGAATGGCCTGTGGTTATTGGTGATTGGAAAAATGCTGATAATTGGTGAAAAGTGGGACACCTTAGTAAACCTTGCAGGGTCTGCTAGATTGCAAGGTGAATATCAACAATAATGCTGGCTACTGTTAGTTATTTAGATGGATGTTCTTTTGCTCAAGAACTGTTCAATCTTCAAAACGACTTCAGCAGTTTGAAAATGGCAAATTGACGAAATCTAGCCATCCAATGGACAACCAAACTGCTGCCTCTTGAAATGTTTTATCATAAAATCAACTTTGCGTCTTGGGAAGAAACTCTGGAAAAATCTATGAATGTGTATTAAGAAGCACAAGAATGAACAAATAATTTACGAAACAGAAATCTTTGTTTAGCTTCAAGCTTCAGCTAAGAATTAGAAACTGAGAAAATTAGAGCTGAGAATGGCACTCTGCATCACAAACTATTAACAAGATGATCAAACATAATAATCAAAATAGTCAAAACTGTCTGGTACTTCTGCAATTCATGACCAAAGTCGTCGAAAAAAGGGTATTTTCTAATATCGGAAGAATGTGAAAATGTGTCAGCGGCTCTGAGTACAATAACTAGCAGAACTTTTCCTTCGGTGGTTGTAGTCTTTTTCATTTTTGCTCCGATTAAACATTGACCCTTTCCCGATATTATCGTGCTCAAAATCTTATAGCATTCATAGTTTTTTCGTAAATAAAAAGTTCCCGTTACCTTCCGATTTAACAATGTTTTACTGCTACTATAACTGCCCATTATACTCCCAAAAAGACGGAGAAATGTTTCTGTCGAAAGGGCCCCAGCTCCTCCTCCGAGCTAACGCCTTTAGATTTTTTTGGGGGAATTTTTGAGAATAAAGTTTGCGCTACTTCTATAGATTCATTTCTGAGAAAAAATATCGAATTTTGTAACTATTTCCAAAATGTTGATTTTCACGCACAATTTTCGAAATTATTGAAAATAAAGCTGTGTACTGAAGGTGAGCTAAATTGGTATTTTTGGTAAAACCTCGTATTAACACCAAATAATATGCGGTGGAAAAACAACAAACAGACAACAATCGACTGATGCGTATTCAAATACGCGTCTAAATGTTAATTAATAATTTATTTGGGCTTTATAATTCTGTTTTTTAACGTCAAGAACTAGAAAAAGAAGCAACTTCAAGAAAACCAGTTAGTCGAATTACGTGATTCCTTTCACATGTTTCCCTCAAATGAATTTTATTTCTGCGTGCAGTCAAGGAATCAGAAGTGAGGTTCAAAGTTTGGCCCCATCAGAAAATTTTGGGAAACTTGCCAGAGCCACTTTCCCAGCCCCTTTTCTTAGGGGGGCAAACTTTTCAGGATAAAGAGACGATTTTAGCCCTGAATTTTTTAGACAATCTCTACTTTTGGCGCCCCAAAACCTGGCGTTCCTTTCCAATATTTTGAAGCAAATGGGACAGAATTGCATGACCCACGAGTGTCCGCCTAAAACAGCTTTAGAATTCGATACTGAACTAAGAACCTGGCAATGATTTATTAATTAATCTACTAACCATGAGAGTGTGAAAAAAATAAAAACGACCAACTCGTCCGCCTCAAAATAGGCTCATCTGCATGTCTTCTCAAAATTCCCAATTTTCACACATTCCGTCGATCAAACAGTACAACAATTCTCATTTATGCATGGGAATTTCGA